GAGGTGCAAAGTCTTGAAAAGAATACAAATGTTTCGCTGGTTAGTGTTTCGACTGAGTTGTATCCAGTAGATGTAAGCAGAATCACGTGGTGGGTGGACAATGGTGCCACAAAGCATGTGACTAACTGCAAAGATTTTCTTTTGGATTATACTGCGTTTAATGGTGAATACAGCATAAAAGCAGCTGGAAAGGAATGTCTTAAGGCGCTTGGCAAAGGGTCAATCGAGATGTTGTCAAAGATTAATGGTGAAACGCTGAAATTGACGCTAACAAATGTCTGGTATGTTCCAGAAATCAACAGAAATCTATTCTCTGTATTGGCTGCACAGGACCAAAATCCTGTTAGTCAATTTTGGTCAACAAATGTTAAATGCTGGCTAAAAGTGAACGGCAATATTGTAATGCGTGGCTATCGAGAGGCTAATGGATCATTATTCCAAGCTGATATGAAACCAATTGTACCGGATGAGATGCATGCTAGTATAGTAGATACTGATGATTCATTGTTGCAGCTGTATCATGAACGATGGGGGCATCAAGATAAGCGGCATGTTAAAAAGTTACTTCAAAAAGAACTGGGAATAAACGTTAAAAATAACAATAATTTGTGCGAATCTTGTGTGTTTGGAAAGGCACATCGTTTACCTTTTGGCAACAGGATGAAAGCTATGAAACCAGGAGAATTCATGTCGGCTGATGTATGTGGCCCATTTCCAAACTCATTCAAGAAAAACAGATATTATGTAGTTTTTAAAGACTCGTTTACAAAGTTTCGATACTGCTATATCATCAAGAATAAATCAGATGTTAAAGATTCACTGGAAACTATGCTTGCGCATGCTAAACAACAAGGTATTTTAGTAAAAGAACTGCTAAGTGACAATGGAGGAGAATTTAACAACTCGGAAGTAAAAGAGGTCTTAAAAAAACATGGTATAACACAAAGATTGACAGCGCCATACACACCAGAGCAGAATGGATCCAGTGAGAGGGAAAATCGTACCATTGTGGAGATGGCAAGAACTTTTATGTACTCAAATTCTAATATAAAGTTTCCAGAAGCGATTTGGGCAGAATTTGTAACAGCGGCGGTTTACATACTTAATCGCACTGGGAAGTCATCTGTTGAAGATGTAAGTCCTTATGAACTGTGGATGACAAAAAAGCCGAGAATAAAACATATGCGGATTATTGGATCTACTTGCTACGCTCATATTCCGATACAGAAAAGGAAAAAGATGGATGCAAAATCTAAAAAAGGATATCTAGTAGGATATGATGGCGATGAACGTTACCGCATTTATATTCCCGAAGAAAATTTAATTACTCTTTCAAGAGATGTCAAATTTATCGAAAATATGAAGGAAGTAAAATTACCTTTAACTGATGCTTGCCAAGAGGAAGAAGTTCAAAATCCAGAGGAGCACGAAAGGGATCTTACAGAAGAAAAAGACAAAAGAGTGCAAGATAATCAAACAAGAAATTCGGAAGATTTTCAGAAAGAGGAATCTACGAATGATAATCGTGTGCGAAGAAAACGCATGAGGGAAGAAAGCAGCGATGAAAGCGACGAAAACGAGAAGGAAAGTGTACAAATAGGACCAAATTTGAGAAACCGTCAAAATATCAGGAGATCAAAAAACCTGGAAGATTTCGTTATGGAGGCTGAAGAATATGTCAATGGCTTGCAAATACCAGAAAGTTATGAAGAAGCAATAACAAGTAACGAGAAACGTGAATGGAAATTTGCTATGGGTAAGGAGATGAAATCGTTACAAGAAAACAAAACTTGGAAACTGGCAGACTTACCAAAGCAGGCTAAAGCACTGCCATGTAAATGGGTATACAGACTTAAAACGAACTCTGATGGAAGCATTGACAAATTTAAAGCAAGATTGGTTATTAAGGGGTATAATCAGCGTTATGGGATTGACTACGATCAAACTTTCAGTCCAGTAGCCAAGATGGCATCAATTCGGGCAGTTCTCAGCATAGCAGCAATTGAGAAGATGATAATAAAACAATTTGATGTCTCTACGGCTTTTCTTTATGGTGAATTGGAGGAAACTATCTATATGAATCAACCGGAAGGGTTTTCTGACGGAACAGACAAGGTATGTCAGTTAAAGCGCAGCCTTTATGGGTTGAAGCAGGCACCAAGGTGCTGGAATAAGCGAGTAGGTGGAGTTCTCACAAAGTTAAAATTTAGAGTGAGTGAAGCTGATCCTTGCCTCTATATTCGAGAAGAAAATGGAAAGAAAATTATACTTGTTTTATATGTAGATGATGGCTTAGTAGCTGGAACTGATGGAAAAGATATAGAAATCTTTTTAAATGAACTTAGCACCAATTTTAAGCAATTCAACTTCAGAACCAGGGAAAGGGGAAAATCAAAAATTTCCGTATAGACAAGCTGTTGGAGCTGTAATGTACTTAATGTTGGGAACAAGACCAGATTTGGCATACAGTGTTGGATTTCTATCAAGAAATTTGGAGAATCCTACTGAGGAAGATATTATAAAAGTCAAAAGGGTTTTTCGCTATATTGCTGGCACAATGAATATGGGAATAATTTATCGCAACAGCATAGACAGTGGCATTTTGAACTGCTACAGCGATGCAGATTTTGGAGGTTGTATTACAACTGGTCGTTCTACTTCAGGTGTTCTAATTACTCATGCCGGAGGTGCAATATCATGGTTGAGTCAACGCCAGGCCATGGTAGCAACGTCGACAACTGAAGCGGAAATTGTGGCTGCCAATGAAGCTACGAAGGAGATAATATGGATTAAACGACTGTTTTTAGAAATAACCGTTTTGAAAGAATTGCCAATACTACAAGTTGATAACTCAGCAGCAGTCAAACTTGCTCAAAATCCGGAGTTTCATCGCAGGACCAAGCATATTGCTATTAAGCATTTCTTTATTCGCGAGAAAATCAACGATCAAGTATTAGGAATTCAACTTATTTCAACACAAGATCAATTGGCAGATATCATGACCAAACCCTTGACAGCAGTAAGAATCAAGTTTTTGTGTGACAAAATGGGTTTAAATAAACTATAAATAACAAGGGAAAGTGTTGAAGTTATGTTATATTATAGTTAATGTACTTTGCCACTTTATACTTGTATGTCATAGATCAGTTATTCATTTGTTATACTATTGAAATTTTCTATATCTGTCTTAATATTTTTTCATTCGAAACATTTAATTCCAATAAACAGCACTTCCTTGTGCATACATTTTTCAATAAGTTACAAAATTTACTTCTTACAGCAAAGATGGCGTCGAGATTTTGGCAGCTAGAAAATAACTTTTTTCGTTCTTTCCGTCCCGCGTGATCTTGTGTCTTTCGTTCATGTTGGTTTTGCCGATTTTGACAGTTGTGGTAACTTGTAAATAAACCTTTGTTTACAAATCAGCGAAAGAGAAATTTGAATTATAAGTGAAAAATCAGTTTAAATTGTGTTAATTTGCAATTTGTGAGCGATTTTTGAGTTGAAGACTGCGTAAAAACTAATACAATGAAGTGCTGTGTGTTAAATTGCGACAGCCGCCAAGATGCAAGAAGCGTAGATGCTAGTTTAGCGCTGGGACGAATCTCTGCATTTTGTGTACATAGGGCACGGCAAAGCCGTTCCCGAAATGTTTCTCTATTATTATATTAACAGCATTTCCTGACAATGATTTTGGTTCTGCTCCAATCAGCCTCCATTAGCAAGTTAACTAATCAATCCCGCAGAGATACTGCTGCAGGGAACAAATGCACAATACCTACAAATCTCGAATTAAAAAAAAAAAAAATATAATTCATAGAGACCATTGAGGTGAACATAAAGGTATATTTTTTTTTTTGGGAATCAAGAGCTACTACAATTATTAAAGGTCAAAGTTCAAATTAAGCATTTCCTTAAATTAATATTTCTCGAAAACCTCTTCAAGGAATTGGACAATTTTGATGTCATTTGATAGAGAATTTAATTCTCTTTAATTTGATATACATATTTATTTATATACCTTTTTAAAGTTTTCACAAAAATCGAATTAATGTGGAAAAAAAGTATACAGGGTTTTTGTGTATAAACTTCTTTTTGCGTAAGCGGCCTTCGGCCGCACTTATAGATTATAAACCTCACAAAGTAGAATTCTCTTTCTGTGTTGCGAAGAAAAGGCGCTGAACACCTTTTGCAGAGAACACCTTTCTGCGTAGGCGGCCTTCGGCCGCGCTTATGGATTATAACCAGGCATGGGCAGAGAGTTAGCAGGTGCTAAAAGAGCGTAAGAGTCGCGTGTACGTATACAAGCGAGAGCGCTGCGATGAGAACACGACAGCATGCAAAATGAATTAGGCACACTAACACATTCTCACTTTTAGCTCACGCTTGTTTGTGGTAGTGCCCACATCTGATTATAACCCTCACAAAGTAGAATTATATTTTTGTGAATACTATAAAAGAAAGTAGAATTATATTTTTGTGAATACTATAAAAGATATATGTATAAATATGTATATCAAATTAAAGAGAATTAAATTCTCTATCAAATAACATCAAATTTTCCAAATCCTTGGAGGGGTTCTCGAGAAATATTAATTAAAAAACATGCTTAATTTGTACTTTGACTTTTAATAATTGTTGTAGTTGTTGTTGCCCAAAAAAAAATATATATATCGTTACGTTCACCTCAATGATCTCCATCGATCCCAATATGATTTTTTTTAATTTGAGAATCGTAGGTATTCTACATTTATGCCGCAAAATTAAAACACGTTTTTCGCTGTAAAGTGAACTGCTTTGGCAGTTTCAACTCGTTCTTCTTTTCGCTCTATTCTTTGTTTACTTGTGGTACACAAATGTCAACGCCCAGGACGGCGCAATCTTGTATTCTATCATTCTTGGGTTATCACGACATCAGTGTTTTCCTGTGGAGACAGGGCCTTACCCAGGCGACGATTATTAATTTGCTCGAAATGTACTATCTGGCAACACTCAACACACTCATGAGAACGAATGCATAAAGGAATGATAAAAGTATTTCACAGTACAAAAGTTCAAATCGCGGCCATTGGATAATATAATTTGGTATTTGATTTAATATAGCGAATTTAGATTGGCATGCCAATTAGAAAGAAAGATATCAAGTATTTTAATGCAACTTTTTGAGTTAATGTATATTAAAATTAAGCTAGATCATTTGGGCAGCAGAAGGCGGAGACCAGCAAATACTTAACGATTTTTAAAAGGATCCAAGATAAAGAAATGTTTAAACGTACATTTAAGGTGGTATTCCGTCCAACTAAAAGCAACTTTCTACTGCTGCCTGAGAACTATTACAGCGTGGTGTCAACATACGTAAGTACAACGGTACGCGTCCACTGACCAAAGGGCACACTGGATTTGTAAGTGAATTAGTTGAGATTTTAGATTTTTAGAAGATAATATACATTATGTTTACTAAGACGTACTTTGCTGATTAGTCTATTCATTACGCCATTATATCAAAAGTTAAAAATACACCGTTTTCTTTCGTTTTACACGCAAAACTATCGCATCACTGATGACCATTTAGGATACTGGCTGCTTAAGCTTACAGTACAGCGGGCACACACACTACGCATCATGGGCGCCACATGCGGGCGCAGTCAAAGATACAGAAATTGGGATCAATGCCAGGGTGGCGAAAGAAATTGGTAATAAATTTTATGTTAAAAGAGATTTCGAAAGTCTCATTTATCATTGATTTCCTATTATACCGCACATCTTGATATAAACTGTTGTCATTGAATATGCTGCCAATAGGGGAATACAGCTCTTGTTGCAAATAGTTTAACAAGTTGATACTGCGGTGGCTTGGGTTACATTAGCATATTACGTTATATACTTAAGGTTTTTTAAATTGCAATATACTAACAAAATTTTTAAGAATCGAAACGCTTTAATGCATGGAGTATGTTTAAGTTTGCACAACACACATTTTTGTATAGAAAAGACAGGGCTTGAAATCGCTCATTTACTAAAAGACCGACTGAGCTCAGAAAAGGAAATTTTTGAGCAAATACCGCAGAGTTAATTTTTATAATATACATATATTACTCCGAATAAACGCTCTGAAATCAATGCAAAAAAAAAAAACTGAGACCTTATCAAAAGTCTGAGCTCAAATTTGCGCATTTAAAATACCTTAATATGAAATATAGATTATTCTACTTAGTTAACTCGAATATAATCAATTAATTGAAACCGTCAAAAATTTGAGACCACTACCATTTAATGTTCTGTTTTTACCTATTTTATTGTTTACATATGAAATATACGTATAAAAAGAATAGCATTCGCTTAATGAAATAAAGTATGATGCCACTAATATCTATCACTTATCTTCATGTGTATTATAAACTAAAAACCACCAAGAAAATTGAACAAGACGCACAAAATTACTCTTGTTCATCAAAGTTGAATGTTTCATTTCGCTATTAATCATATTTTTATTAAATTGTATTATTAGGTTTATGTGAGAATGATTTCGTAAAATGCTCGCTCGTCGCTGACGTCTTGACATTGAGGAGTGTATTCGTTACACCGGTGTCGGCCAAGGACTGGGAAATAATTGTGAGTGAAATTTATTTATAGTGCAGAGCGAAATGAGACTTTGCATGTGTCTCTACAGATACTAGAGATTTTGTTTGACCGTACAAGTTGACCGTAGTGGTCCAAGGAAAGCGTTTATGAATGAATTTTGTTTGTTATTTTTACACATTCTTTTCTCTAATTTCGGAGTGTTGTATTTACAAGTGGTTTGCCTCTTTGAAGATTAAATGATTTGTTCTTTTAATGAAGGCATTTGTCATTAGCGCACATGTTAATGTGTTGCGACACATGTATACATATGCTGCGTTTAAGTTAAATTATGTCAACGTATATTTTTGCAAAATAAAACCATGTTCATGCCTATTTTCTGCTAAAGATACGAAAATTTAATATGTACATACCAATGCAATGCGGCTACAACAACCCCGCCCAGATGGGTTGATATCTCAGTCGTTGTCGTGCAGCCTCTATCGGGTCGGTCCACAAGGACAAAGCCGTTAGGGTTGGGTTTTCCGGGCATGCGAAGAGATGTTTCGAGTCATGTGGGGTCTCTCCGCATGCCGGACACTCATTTGGCACATCCTCATTCAATCTACTTAGGTAGGAGTTTAACTTGCTGCAGTAGCCAGAGCGAAGATGGGCTATTGTTGTTCGTGTCTCCCGAGGCAGATGAAGCTCCGTCTCGTCGGACATAGACGATGGTGGTGTACCTAGAACGGCATTCACAGGTCTAGAGTCTACATAACTCGAGACTGACTCCCTGTGAATGCCGTTCACGGCCCGTCGGTAAGCTGACGGGTCCAGAGTTTGCCTGATGAAGCTCTGGACTTCGTCCGTCAGTTCATATAGATGCCTCCTGACGTGCCTAGGCGAGGGCTCCTCTGCAAGCAGCTGTCTGTTTGGGTGACCACTTCTGTGGCTCCCGACCAGAAACTGCTTGCAGAGCATTATGTTGTGCTCCTTTATGGGGAGCATTTGTGCCTCGTTGTGGAGGTGATGTTCCGGCCTATTGCCTTGTATGTTGCCAGCAACGTTTCTTTGTCTTTGACTTGAGGACCTTGTTGCGGCTCTGTACTTTATTGACAATAGCGGTTGCGTGCGCAGAGAAGAAGAGCAGGCTGGGGAATGATACTCCGAGTATTTTGGGATTATTCACCGTCGGAATTGGTGTGCCATCGACGTGAATTCCCAGTGGTAGCCTAACCTCCTTCGTCCAGGTTGTGAACAGGGTCGCAGAGGATTTCGTAGGGGAGAGGGCTAGACACTTTGCAGTGAAGAAGTGAGAAAGTTCGGAGAGATACCCGTTTACTTTCGAACAAGGGTCATCAATTCCATTCCCAGTCGCCAAGATCGAGCATTAGTCGGCGTAAGAGGCAATCGAGACTCCCTCTGGTGGTTGAGGGAGCTTTGAAATGTAAAAGTTAAACAGTAGCGGGGAAAGGACACCACCCTGTTGAACCCCCTGTTTTATTTTTCTAAGTTTGCTCGATTTGTCTCTAAACATTACCGACGAGTGCCGACCACTCAGATAATTTGCCGACCACCGCTTGAGCCTCTGTAGGAGAGTGGAAGCCTCTATATCTTCTAGTAGCGTGGAATGGCTGACAGTGTCAAAAGCCTTTGACAGGTTCAACGCTACCTAGCATCGTTCTCTCACAGGGACGGTTTCGGTTAAGGCCACGAGTTATCTGAGTGTTTATGGCGTTAAGTGCTGTTGTTTTACTGTGCACTTTACGGAAACCATGCTGATGCTTCGCTGGGGTCAAGTGGTTTGTGAAATACGGGAGCAGCAAGGCCTCGAGTGTCTTCGCTACCGGGGAAAGGAGTGTTATCGG